TGATATTTTATTTCATGCTCACATGAATATTGTATTTTATACTCACAGCTCACAGCTTCTCCCTTCCATCTGGATGATGAAGAGGGAGAGGATCTGTTACTGCTGCTGTTACTGCTGCTGCTGTTACTGCTGCTGCTGCCGGTGGTGCTGGGGGTTCCGGAGCCGGCGGTGGCTGCGCGGGCGGCGCCTGCTCTTACTCCTGTTTCGGCTGGGTTGTTGTGTTTTGGGGGGGGGGTTACTAAATCCACCCGAGAAAGTCAGTGTTCACATTGATGTGTGAGGAGAAGGAGTCCTGTAGGATCAAATGTATAAAACTGTCATGGGTGTGGACTTTTTTTAAGCTGTAAAAATGACTTTTTAAATTGTTTAATATTAAAGAAATGTTGAGAGGATCTGTAGTTGCCTAGAAACTGAAGAAAAGCCGAAGGAAACTGCAGCTGTGTCCTGAAGAAGTTGTTGAAGTTGTAGCCGTGCTCTAGTACTGAGTCTGTGATCACTTGGTTTTTATGTCAAAGTGATGTTGAGTATCATGAGCTCAGACGTACAGTAGGTCAGACACGTGGTGTAGGCTGCACGGGAGGAAAGTTGGAGCAGGGCGATTTGGCTCTAACACTTAATAAGAATAGTTACAATCGAGTAACAACATTTAATTTTACCCATCAATCACCAAAATGTTCAAAATGGAGTTCGTTTTTTAGAGATTCAAATTGTTGTTTATTAAGAGATCGAAACACAGAAGACCATAAAGGACATAAACGTGTGGTATTACTAGGACAACAACAGAGTGATATTAGTGGCTACTGTGTCTGAAAAGAAGAAAAAACTTTAAATGTTGGCAAATGTATAAATGTGTAACAAATATGGTCGACAGGAAGCTGTTGAGTTTAAACAGAAGTCAGAGACACATTTATAAAAAAAAAAAAAAAAAAAAAATCCCAGAACTGTCACTGCAGTATGTATTGGATACAGAGCGTGGGTCACTGTCATGTCCGGTGGTGATGTCACTGGTCCACTGGTGGTTGGCTTTCAAATTTTAGAGAGCAGATTCCTGCATTGGTTTGTTCCCTTTCCTTCGGCTACATGAACAACAGACAGAGTTCGTGGGAAGTTCTTCCAGTGACGTTCTGTAGAGTTTCACATTCTTCTTCCAAAACGTACAGGGAAGATGGCCTTTATAAAAGTTCCAAATCAAAAGTATAACTAGAGAAATTGTGGGTAATGTAAGTAAAATATGCACTCCTGCATCTCCAGCTAGTTGGCATTCATACGTCTCCACCGTGAATTCCTTCAGGATTTGTTTTTTCTCAGTCTGGATTGGGATCGTTTTATTAACTGTCACTTCATACTCAGCCACAGTTGTCGTGTACGCCACACTTTTCTGGTGCTCCACAGACAGGCACTGGTACAGGCCTTCATCGCTCTCTGAGGCCTCCAAGATGAGCAGTCGGTCTTCCAGTCGGTCTTCCAGTCGGTCTTCCAGTCGGTCTTCCAGTCGGTCTTCCAGTCGGTCTTCCAGTCGGTCTTCCAGTCGGTCTTCCAGTCGGTGGAGCCGGCCTATCAGGATCCCAGAGCTGTTATTCCGCCTCCAGCTGGTTTTTGCCAGGTTGGAAGGCAAAGGGCAACTGAGCGTCAGGTTCTGGCCTTCCCAGATGGAGACGGTCACTGGTGTGATCGGCTCTGAAGACATAAAGACTCCCTTCAATCATTTAGACACTAGTGACAAAAACTTGATTTGTGGATGAAGCTGCTAATGTTTCTCACACGTCACTGCACCAACTCACCCGAGTTTGGACAAGAGAAGACGTTTCCCTCCTTTAAACTTTGGACAAGCTTTCTACAGCACCGATGCAAAACAAATAAAATGCCGTTTTGATACAAGTCTTCCAAAACAGTTTTGAATCAAATGCGTAGACATCTGTTTACCTTTGTGAATTCAAAACAACGACACATTTCCCATCAGCGCCGTCCCAGCCGCAGTACGGATCTCTTGATAAAACACAGTCCAGACAGGACGATGCCCTCTCACAGCTGGCCAGTGGTATTTGTGCCACCCCAGAGTCTGATCCCACATAGAGCTGATGCTGTGGCAACAAGACAGACACAAACACTGACGTATGATGTATGAACTGGAAACACTTACATAAAACCTTCACTTCAGACTCACGTCACTGAAAGACCCCCCTTGGCCCCGCCTCATTGTTCTAACATACCGTGAAACTTGAAAGAGTCAAGATTTTGATTGGCTCAATTTGCTGGAAAAGTTGTATTTCCTCAATGATGAACGCCTCTCCACCAAAGTCAACTACCTTCAGTAAGGTGCCGTCCTCTTCTCATGGAAAGACACAGGAGCGTTCGTCAAAGACTGGGTTCATAGAACTGGAGCCTGGTCAGGCTTTTTAAAGTCAGGTGTAAACACCAGCAACACACACCTGTGCCGATGAACATGACGTTGTAAGCTTGGCCGTCGTTAGCGCTGACGTGGTTCACAATGATGCGTGTAAATGTGGCTCCTTCTCTGATCAGCAGAGGCTTCTCTCCTCGCGGGTGGATGGTGTGGTCCATAAGGGGTCGATTTTTGACAAATAAAAGTGTGTTGTCTGGGAGGTCTGCAGACTGATTTATCCCCATCTTCTGAGCTTCATTGTTTATGCACTGTTCAGAGACAGAAATGGGGATTACTGCCCAAAATTAGGTTACCTTCAGGCACCAAAGGAGGTCAGGGGTTTGAGGCTAGGGGTAAGAATATGGACAAACGTACAGCTCCAGGACGAGGGAAAGGAATATTTTGACTGTACATGAGTGGAATATCTCTGTGAACTGAAGGCCTGTATGTCCCTGTTTCAAACATTGTGATGATGTCCAAAACTGGGTAGACACACACTGCTGTTGGGTGGGATTTGTCACTGAAACAAAGAAAAGCAAATGGGATTAGTGGTGTTTCTTTTTTTCGTCTTCTTTCTAATGTCGGTTTAATGACTTCTTTTAGGAACTTCTGTACATCTGTGATGTGAAGATGACGTAGAACAAACAGTTCCTCCAGTGCAGTTTGGGATCACACCAAAGGTACGCATCCTGAATGATGTAAGGAAGTGGAGATCTAGGTACTGGACAGTCCAGTGTGGCCTTCAGGAACGTGGTCCACTTCTTGTACAAAATCTTCCGACCACCAAGATCCCCCTGAAAACCGTACCTCAGTTGAACATTTCTGAAAGGAACATCCACTCGTTTGTGATAAGTTGCACAGTTTGTGAATAAACAGAAGGCTCGTGTTACCTTACAGACACGCGCCACCCGAGGGACCGCCACCTTCTGGTAGAACTCACACTGACCCAGAGCGTTCTCGTTGAAGAACAGGTAGACCTTGTCATCATTTTCCTGGTTCGTTTCATCTTCTGGCATTTGAGCCATGTACACGAACGTTGGCTCTGGAGTTGAAAACACACACACACACAGTGAATCAGCCTGTCAGTAGACGGTGCAGTACAGACATACCATAATATGGTTATAAGTATTATCTCACCGTTTAACACATTGTTGGATTCTTCGTTTTTTATGAAATCAGGAGAGCTGCGGGTCAGGGTGGGTTTGTTGCCCTGGAAATTCTCATAAGTGGCTGAGTAGAGATTGTTACCTGTTTAAAATAAGAAAAGGAAAGTGTAAAAGACGCCTTGTCAAATCTCAAGGCAGTCTGAACACCTCCTCACCATCCATGAGGGAGGCGTGTCTCTGGGCAGGATCAAATGGACTCTTTCCTCTTCCACTCTCCATCCTGCTCCCTCGAGTTAAACTTCTGTTTGAAAAGTACTAAAAACATACAACGCACATTAACGCCTCTGTTTCACTTGAATTAAACACAGTTTCAGTGACGTCGTCTTACCAAATCACAACACTTGGGATCAAACGCATTGGTTCCACAAACAAGCATGTTTCCATTTTCCTTCTTGTGCAGTATCTTTACGTAGTTCCTGCATTCCGACTGTGAAGGATTTTCAGGAGACCATCACTTCGTCGTATTAACAACGCTCACAGGTTATCTTTGTAGCAGTAAAGAACCACTTACCACCGAGTGTCTCCCTTTTAACACACACAGTTTGTTCTCGACGGGTCTCACTGGCCATTTCAACTGTGTAGTAAAAAAAGTTGTTTTAAAACTTGACCATTTTCCCATGCATCTTCAACAGCAGGTCATTTTGTCAACAGTTGCTTACTGAAGATTGTTTCCTAGTTATGTTGTTCAGGTCAAGAGAATACACAGCCTCTTTGGCGCCCACTAGCAGTAGAGCCAGGTCTTCTCTTATCAACATTGTGCTGTAGTTTGTCACACCGTCCTCATTAAACACAGCGGCTTGGACTTCTGTAAAAAGAAAAGAAACTGTTTTGGTTCTTATGACCTGCTCTAGTACAGTTCAGTACCGCTGGTGTTTCATGTTGACTGTGACGTTCTCTAAGAACACGGCTCAGGAACATGGCTCTGTTCTGATATGAAACCTTTGGCTGTGACAGCGTTACCAGGGTTTACATTTTGATCTGTAGTTTAATGTGTTGACTTGAAGATGGAATGAAGTGTAGTGTAAGACTCGTCTTCACAAGAGCGAGCTGTGCAGCGGGAGGTGAAAGCTGCAGAATCTCTTTTCTCTGCTCTCTGATTGGTTTCTGACCTGTGGTCGTGATCGTCAGGAAACAGAATCACGTTTCATTAAAATGCATTAATGACATGCATTAGTGAAGGAAGAACTCGCTTTTATCTAAAATGTAAATGCAGCTTGAACTTGAATTCTGTTTGTGGATGAACTCACCATTGAAGGGGACAAACTTGCGGGGAACGGAGCCTAGAAACGAGTGTGAGTCTCTGAGTGTGACGACCAAAGGCAGGAGCAGGAAGACACACGGCAGCAGCAGCAGCAGCAGCAGCAGCAGATTCATGGTCTTTGTTCAGGTTTCTCCAGCAGTCACTAACACAGAGCCAGTCTCATTAGAGCAGTCTCCTGAATGTTGCATTACCGTCTACTTCAACCTAACCTTCGCTTCTTTTTGTCTTTAATCTTTTGTTCTTGGTATTTAATGGCAGTTGGCAAAGATAACGTTAAGTTACTGTCTCCGTCCTCGTCCTCGTCCTCTCGCCTTCTGTCTGCGTTTACCTACTCACCTAATGTTAAAGAGTTTTCCTTCCTTTTTCAATTCCCCCGTCCTGATCCTTGTCTTTGTGCCTTTAATCTTTTAGGTCAGAAGAACAAAAGGAACAAGTTCCAGCAGTTGTTGCCTTTGACTCATTATATCTACATCAAAGCCAAAAAAGCTGACGTGATTTTAATAAAATAAAAAAGGAGTGTTTGTTTCAACACCATAAGACTTGTAACAGGTTTCCTTTGTAAAATTTAAAATCAAAAGCTGACATTTAGAAATAAACACATATTGAATGATTCTTTTGTGTTGGAACAAACTAAAATGAAAGTTTAAGAAGATGGTATAATAAGAAGAGGAAACACACACACACACACACACACACACACATGCTGGAGTTTGTGAGTACGTCACAGTCAACCATGAGTTTTTAACAGTAGTGTTAACTAAGGAGAGTCGCCTGAACGCCTGAACACACCGTCAACACCTGGACACACCATCATCACTCGAACACAGTCACCATCATCACCTGAACACACCATCAACACGTGAACACATTCACCATCATCGCCTGAACACACCACCATCACCTGAACACACCATCAACACGTGAACACATTCACCATCATCGCCTGAACACACCGTCATCACCTGAACCCACCGTCATCACCTGAACACCCCGTCGTCGCCTGAACGCACCATCATCACGTGAACACAGCCACCATAATCAACTGAACACACCGTCATCACCTCAACACACCGTCATCGCCTGACCCCACCGTCATCACCTGAACACACCATCATCGTCCGGTTGAATCAAGGTAAAATCAGTAAATGTGGTAAAAAAAGACACGTCAGTTTTAATTTGTCAATCATTTTGCTGAAGTTTGTTGAAATCCAGATACAGGTCGTTGATTGAGTTGCTGCAGATATTTGATGTTATGCTATTCTACTGTACAAGCTTCTATATTAGTTATAAAGTTAGGCTCTGTGTTTGGAAGGTTGTTGATCTGAAGGTTCTGTAACTGCAGTTTGAAGGAAATGTTTTAAAACGACTTGTTATGAGAATGAAATGCTGCTCTGAAGAACGTCTTTAATGTTCAGTAAATCATCTTTATTATAAAATATTTTTGTGGGAAAAAAAATCTAAATTTCCTCTCTTCTTGTTAAAGGAATTTGAATGCAGCTCTGAGTCCATAAGATTATTTTCTCCATTCTCACTTCAAACAGTATCAGACTGAAGCTCATGACTTCCTTTAATGATATAAATGTCCGAGGGCGATGAACACTGAGAGTGTTTTCTTCTTTTGTGCTGTTTGTTATCACAGACATGCAAGACCGGCTTATTAAACATTAAAGGTGATCAGATGGTCCTTTCATGATGAAACCTGTGATGCTTCACAAACCACATCATTCTACATGTTTCCCTGAGTTCACATCAAAGTGAGTTGCAGTTCCTGAATGAACTGGAGCTGCAGCTCATGACGGACAGAACCTGCACGTAGGAACCTGCACGTAGGAACCTGCACGTAGGAACCTGCACGTAGGTTCAACGTTTGAAACTCGTGGGCCACGTTGTGAAGCCACAGGATGTGATTATGGTCTAGAATGTCAGTACGATGGGCCACGCCTCCTACAGTTGGTCCAATCAACAGCAGGACAATCCTATGGGAGTCAGTGCTGAGGTTAAGAAGGAAACTTACTTCCATTACGCCCCCTGCTGGACGGTCACTTTCTGGAAGTAGACACAACATTGGAGCCAGAGATTGTGCAGCATGTGTTTGTTGGAGGTTCAACCTCTGGTCAGTGGCCCGTGTCAGCCTCCTGGAGCGTGGACAGTAAGTCAGTCCAAAGACAGATTGTCAAATGACTGTAGTTTGATTGATGATGTCGAGGAGAAGAACGTCGAGTCGGGTTTTGACATCAACACTTGATACGTTCTACAAAGTGTGCAGTAATTAATGCTACTTTTAAAAGTAGTAAAAAAAAGTTCCTGCTGTTGTTTGTCTTTTTGAATCATCGTGGTTTATCATGGTTCATTAATCCACAGCTTCCCTCTGATTAATCTGGGTTTTTGTTTTTTTTTTTTTTAGACGTGTGAAGAAACAGTTGAACTTAGTTTCCAGAAGTGAGTAGGTGGAAATCAAAAGCCCGGTACAAAATTGAGACGTATTGTAAATCCCTTGGACTAAGCAGAAATCATAAAATAAACTAAGCTGAGAGTGGGATCGCTATCAGCTTTTAGAGTCTGGGTTTGGAGCCGGAAAGAATTAAGGGATAGGATTTCCCATCTGACGGTGGAAAAAAGCCTTTGGCCTCGGAAGTCGTTTTTTATGTGAACTCTGCTGTGAAATGAAAAAACCAAAAATATGTCGACGGTTGAGGCTGAGTCACTTCCAGTCTGCTGCAAAAGTAAATGTTGACAAACAGAAGCAGAGCCTTTATCTTCTCAGGGACAACAGAGCTTTGAAGGAACTCAGTGTCAACATCAAGCTGATTTTCTGATAATGTGTTGATTGTCTTTGGTTGATGATCATTCATCCAGATGTAGAAATGGCCTCCGTCCTCATGTCGTACTCCTGCTCCACAGCTGTGTCAGAAGTATGAAGCACTGAGGCTGAAAACAGCAGCGTGGATGTGGACTTCACTGGAGTCACTTGTTCATATCTGTGGCTTTGATGTCTTATTGTCACAGTGTTACAGTCGAAGAGTCAAAACGGTTGATTCTAGTTTGGTCAGATCTACAGCCAAGCATTTCCTACACTCACCAACAGGGCATGTGAAGATTATGAAATAAAATATCCAATATTCAGTTGTCTGTGTTGAACCAGATGATACTTGTTGTAGTTGATCTTCAAATGTGCTGCATCGTCATCGCTGCAGGTTCTTCAGGCCACAGCTCAGTTCTGGGGTTTGGAGCATGAACTCATTTACATATACAGTAACACAGCTCAGGTTCTGGTCCCAGGGAGGTAACAACACACACACACACTGATGTGATTTACAGTAGTGTATCACCTGATGAATAGACTGGGTGTGAAGACCGTGTTTATTGGTCACAGCTGTTTGTGAGATAAATTCACACGTGTGGTGACAATCCTGCAGTGATGATGAAACTGTCACATCCATGTGTTGTTGTTTACTCTGCTCCTAAACACACAGACAAACAGACCTCAGTGTAATGACCAGTGACCTGTTACAGCAGGGAGACGGTCTTCACATGTCCACGCCTGCACTCAACATGGTAACCATATATTCAGTCGTATAAACTCAACATACTTTATATATATATATATATATATGTATGTATGTTGGTGCTGATGAAACAGGTCTGTCTGACAAACAGACTCATTTGGTTTCTTTTGTTACACACAGATGAACACAGGCAGTGATAATGACATTTTTTTATTATTATTTCTAGGACGTTTATACTGAGGAAATTCTGACATTAAAGTTGAATTTGAATTTAAACTTTCAGATATACTTAAGATAAAGGAGTTTAAAGAAGTGTCAGAACAGAGCTGTCACCTGTAAAAAAAAAAAAAGAAAAAAAAGTTTAGGCTGAAGAAAAAGCACTGTTGATGCTCACACAGTGAGAGCACAAACAAAGTCACCTTCACACAAGTGTCAGGAAGAAAAGAGTATCATCAAAAACCTCATAAAATACTTCAATACGTGAAACGAAACATCACTCATCAAGATAAGTTCTGTTTTGGGGGTAGGGGGCGCTGTTGTAATAAACAGGAGGCACAACCACACATTAATTTTGCTCAAAATCATTTAAATGAAAAACTTTAAATTATGCATCCAAACCAAAAGAGCGTGCAGTACCATTACCTACCACATTTCCCTGGTGGCAGCACCTCAGTCACACGCCGCGTGTCAGAGCGAAAAGGTTTCCAGTGCAGAAAAGCAAGATGAGGATTAAACATAAAAAAAAGCTTCATTTGCCTGATGGTAGAAATGAAGACAAGGTTAGAAGTGAGTGTGTCCACTGTTCAGGTCCAGTTCCTCCGCTGAGAGCGTTGACCCAGATCAGACCAGGGAGAAGAGGTGAGTCATGGGAAAAGGAAGGTTACTTTCCTATTTCTCCAGGGCTGAAAGTGAGAAGAAATATGCGTCACTGTGAATATTTTTAACCAGTGTTGGACCAATTTTCTATTCTTGGACCAGGGGTAAAAAATAGCCCAAATGTGGTCCATACACCTGCAGCTGCACGTTACAAAACAGGCAGAATTAAAAAGACAGATTTCTGGCTATAAGACACGCTGCTTTGTGGCTAAAAGGATTTTCAAGACATGATTATAATAATATGAAAAGCGGAACATTTATCGTTCATTATGGTAATTAAAAACTGAAAGAGGGCTCTCACAGTTTTTCAAAAAAACAACAACAACAACAGTGATACATTGAAAAAACCATAAGACTGATGGAGAAGAGTGAGTAAAGGAAAGCAGCTCTGGTAATTACCAGGACACCTGGTTCAGAAAGGTCCGTTTTAATCACCACCACCACTCACTGTGATTGGATGATATTCAGGTGCATCATAATTAAAAACAGTCCCAGCACATCAAGGCTCTTCTCTCTGCCTACACAACAGTCGACCTCTGCTCAGGGGGTCTTTATTATTTTTACTGTCACTTCTGCCTAATTTAGAGAAGCCGGTGTTTTATTTCTGGAAATGTATAGAAAGTTTCCCTGTTTGTCCTTTCCTCCTCCTCCTCCTCCTCCTGCTGCTGCTGCTGCTGCTGCTGCTGCTGC